AAACGTCTTGCATTGGCCAATTTCTTAGATTTATGCTCATTGTTGGCATTAAAAAATCACAGAGACTGAATGAAAAGAGTCATAATGGCGAATAGTTGAGCCATCTATGTTTCACATCCCCTTGTTTGTTTATCTTGGTGATTGGCACATTATGCGGTTGGCACATTGCGCTAAGATTTAGAAATACATTTGTCATATCTGATTACGTTGATTGCCCTAAGCTTTAGAAATATATTTGCCATATCTGATTACTTTGAGTGGGTCATAAGGTCATCTTGTTGGGGATAATACTGTGTGAGAGGATGGCTGGACTCCTCGATGTTGGTTAACATTCAACAGTTGGCCAGTTACAGCTTCCTGCACCTTTAATGCCATGTATTTTGAAAAAATAACTGTTTTACTTCAATTTTCTCCAACAGAGCGAAGGTGGCGCAACATTACTAAGGCAAAGAAGTGTAGCAAACACTGATGCCACTCGTGACCATCCTCCACCTTACAGTAAAAATGATATTGCACAGGTGATTGTGTTATTTTTAATATTTTCAACACTTTTAACTTTCGACTCAATCTAGGGTATTCAAAACATGTATATTGAAAAAGTTTTGAAACAAATATTATACTTGCTATGTCAATGCTCACTTTCCATCACAATTCTGATTACGCTGTGTGGGTTTGCAGCGTAGAATCTCATTTGAGATAATCATGTACAAGAGCATTGCTAGACTCTTTGCTGCCGTAGAGTGGCATACATATTGGCTTCTTCCACTAATAAGTCCATGCATCTAGAAAAAATGCCTGGCTAAATAATTCCATACCTGATATGTACTAGTATCCGGACGAGAAATTGGTCTATGCCATATGATTTAGCTATCTGTTCGGCTTTTCTCTTCCCCAGAATAAATATGGAAATCCTATCCTAATTACCTTTTAATTTTCAAATAAAAATAGACCTCGTAGATTGATTTTTAGAATGGCCAACAGTATCATATGAACCACTGCGGTTGCAAGAAATTGTTATAATTGATCCCAGCCCAGTTATATTTTTCCTATGAATTGTCAGATTGCAGTTGTATGTCTCAATCAAATCTTTGCAAGTTTTGTAGAATTTATTTATAATAAACATATCAATTGGCAATTTAGATTTTACTCCTTTTAATTCTTTCCCACCAGAACTTGGTGCCTGATGTCTTCATATAATGCAGTAGTACTAAACTGCTGTTATACTTGTGTCTTGGACCGATAAATTTTTGAGCATGTACCCCATCTCTGTTTTACTAGTCTCTGTATATTTTCATGACAGTTTTTTGAGTTAATAAATAAAAATTTATTTACAGATTCAGTATGTTCATGACCACGACTACCCTTCTGACAAGAATAATGACAAAGAAGGGGATGTGCATGACAAAGGTATTATTGCTATTCTCTAAAACGTCTTCCTAAGTGTCTGATTTTAAGCATTTGAAATAGTTTGTTCACTTGGAAAACATAGAGAAGATTTACATATTTATCCCGGGAAGCGGTTATTTCATTCACCTACGGTAGCCGAGGAGTCAAGCATATTCCCTACAGGGATTCGAACCTGTGAACCCACGCAGGATAATTAGAGGTGTGGTGGTGAGCGTATTCCTAATGCCTAGCACAATGCGCTACAACACTTCTATTTTTTACTATCACACTTGAATCAAAATATGCTAAGCCTTCATCATTGTTTATTTTCCTTACAACAAAAAATATTTTCTATAACAAAAATGAAATATTCTCAATCCATAAAATAGTAAAATGATGAGTTAAGACCAACACTTATCAAAAATGAAGGTTTTTAATTAGAACAAAAGAATTGTCTAGTAATATAAAATATATCTAATCACAGGAGGGCATTTATCCGCACGAAAAAACTAAAACCAAGGAAAAGATTGAATTTCAATTGGGTGGTAATATTGAGGAGCATGACGACCTTGGTTATCAAGTGAGACAGGTAATATTGATATTAAGCAATGAGTTTGTAAATATATTGGGAAAGAGATTAATTAATAATTCATCTTACCAAGTTAAATAGCTCAAGGGTTTTGCATGGTTTGGTTTATTTTAGTTTAAGCCTTGGTATATACTTGTCGATGGTTTAAGAAGATACCGGCCATTGAATGAAAAGACCTTTAATGGTGAACAGTCAACTATGTTTCACAGCCTTTTTAGCAATTAGTTGGTCCTAAATGCCAATTAAAGAATGCACTTGCCATCGCACCCTGTATGCGTTTTCCAGTCCAAATCTTGTGGGAAATAATTATGTGTGAGACAATTGCTGGACTTGACGTTGTTGGGTGCTTAATGTAACTGAGGTTGCTGGGTGGTTATGGCTTCCCACACCATCGAGTCTATGCATGCATACAAGGGGGCCAGGGGTATACAGCTCTATCTTTGATATTTAAATATTAATAACACCCTATACCTTTTACTCTTTTCTGAACACATTACATTTGTTTGTCTGTTCAGTATTATTTAAAAAAAAAACTGATGGCTATGAAAATTACCATTTTCAACACTATATCAATTGGGTAGTTTCTGTCTAAAATTTCCATGCACGCTGCAATGCCTTAACAAAATTTGTTTATTTCTAGGCTTAAATAATTCAAAACATTAATTTTATGTTTTTTCGAACAGAATGAAGGTGTCATGAGTGAAGATGACACAACATTGGTAGGGCAAATGAGTGTAGCAAAATCCAGTGTTACTCATGATCAACCTCCACCTTACAGTAAAACTGAAGATAGGAGGGTAATTTTGGTGATTTATGTAATCTAAACTATTGACTGCAAAGATTTAGAGTACCGGGTAATCAAACGTGTTACTTGAACTCAGGGTTGTGTATCAGGCAAGAGTTCAGGTTGTGCGAAATCTTGGTGCGCATACTTCAGGAGTACCCCTTTTTCATTATATTTTGTGCATTTCAAACCTTACATGGGGTTCCTCATTATTATTGACTACAGCTGAGATATGTTTATTTTGTATCTAAAATTCCAGTTTGCACTTGATTTCCGGTACTCCTGTAGTATGTGAACCAAGATGTTGGACACCGAACGTATTTTGTGTACCAGGTTAGGGATAGCTCAGAATTTCAGGTACAAATATTATGGAAGGAAGTCACTTGGCTTGTCCCCGAACTCATAATAGAACTAAAATAAGGAAAATTAGAATAAAGTTATAGCCTATCCTGGTACACCTGCTATGTTCCGGTGTCTGTCATCTTGGTTCCCATATTTCTAGAGCGCCTGGTTGCAAACGTTGATCAATTTCCATTCAAAAGTGATAAAATTGTTTTTATTTAAATTTATCGCTTGTGTTAACTTGTTTAGTTACAAATTTTTCACCCAAATGTTCTATTTTATAGTTTTCTGGAGATAAAGAGCCAAATGTTGCAAAACAGGCTTTCAAAAAAGACAAGAATGGAGTTAAAGCCTTTCTAGAAGACTCTTCCAAAACTGTGCCAAAGGTATTTTCTTTTCATATAACATATTGGTATCAAGTATTTTTATTAGGACAGAATGTTGTTTGTTGTATTTTTTGAATAAAATATACTTTCGCCTTATTATCTGTTATTTCTAGCTTATTGTTTGCTAGGTATTTTTGAGGTGGGTTGGGGGAGCGAGTTTGACTAATTCTGAAAATGTGGCTTAAAATGTTCGCGAACCACTGATCTAAGTAGTTTAACTGTCTTTACAAGAAATAATTGATCAGTTTCCAAAAGCTATATCATATTAAATTTTACTTATCGTAAATACCGTATTTCCCGGCGAATAAGTCTCTTTTCTAGACCCAAATTTTTGGCCTGATATTGGGGGGGGGGGGTCGTCTTATTAGGCGATTATGATAATTTGTTTGGTGTCGCCTTATTATTCAATTTATTTGTACCACAAAATACCTTCGGAGATAGCATCCCCACGTCCTCATCATTGCCGTGTTATTTTAGATCGGTAATGTTCTTATATGGCGGATGCAATCGCGTGTTAGGTTGAACACAATTAGATTGAAATTGAATGACAGTTTGAATTCTCGTAGTTGTTATAGATTGAATATCACGCTACAAGAAAAATCATTATAGGCTATTTTAACCAATGCGCAAACGCGGCGACCGCTCAAATGTCTGTCTCTGCATGGTAATTTGAAATTCCGATGTTGAGGCGATTTCACTGCCCGTCTTATTGGCAGGTAATATGCAAAAAAAACATTTTTTCAGGCTTAAAAACGGGCCTCGTCTTATTTACCGGGTAGACTCATTCGCCGGGAAATACGGTATTATATATTCTAATTTTCTAAACCTATTCCAGGATGTAGGGAATGTTGAAAACAATAACTCAAAGAATGAAACGAGCAAGAAATCAAAAACAGTATCACCAGATATCTCAACAAAGCCACAAGTGAGCATCTGATATAAATTTAAAGTGACAGATATAAACCTGTATTTGATATACCAGTAGGTATAAACTAGATTGAGACAGACACTGTCATCAAAGTCAACACCCGAATATTCACATAGGAACACGCTTTAATTGCATCTGTGATAACTCAGTATTCATATGAAATCTGTGGGAGAACATTATGAGCGAGTGGATTGTTAGATTCTTCGACGTAAAGATAGACATTTTTGTTTTTTTCGTGTGCCATCTTCACCATGAAACGCCATTCTCATGTTTTTCCCTAGTTTTTGTTTGCATCAAGTGTTTGATCATTTTGGTGAAAAATAAACTACTGACTGACTGACTAAAATAGTTGACAGGCTAGTTGGTTCCACCTTCCTCAACTAGCAAGTCTATGCATCTGAAACAAATATAACTGAGTAAATATCTGGCATACATATGTTGGTAAGCAGATGAGGAGATGCAGTTTGTCATACTATTGGGTTGCCATATTAACTTCTTTCCCTTGGATAAATATGAAAATCTTATCCTATTCTAATCTCATTTTTTAATTGCATTTCAGGCATTGTCATTACAAAAGAGTTCAGATGTTGAAATTGTTAAAATTCCACAAATCATCATCGAGTCCCCAATCGAGATGTTCAGTTTTACAGTGGATGAACGAGGCTGCAATGTATCTTCTCCTATTGTAAGCTACATTTTGCACCTGGTGCCACAGAAGAATCTATAACTATTAGGATGCAACCGGAGTACGACATAACGGTGAGATATAATCTTTGACTATTGATATGCAATAGTTAAAAACAAGAGAGCAATGTTCAGAAAAATTGACAGTGTGGTGCATCGTGGTAAATGTTATGAATTCGCTTGCCACCGCACCTCTGATTACACAGTAATCAGTAATTTATTTTTCCATTGAATATAAATATAAAAGCAAAATATTTACAATAATAAATTTGAATATTGGGAGCGTTCAAGTTTCCAGGGAATTTTTGGGAAATCCAGAGACTCTCGTTAATATAAAATAGACTCCAAGCACCATCAAGTGAGGTAACCACGGCAACTGCTCAGCTAAGGCCTACCCTGCGTTGTTTTGCAGGTTCGAATCCCATGCGGAGATAATTATCTGCAAGAGGATTGCTGGACTCCTCAGCCCCATAGGGGGGTTCACGTAACCGCTGTTCGCTTATGACTTCCTTCACCATCTGTCCATGCTTCAGAAAATAAATAACTGACTAACTAATCCCAGACACTACATGAAATCGTAACCGGACGAGAGACTGTGGTCGATTAAGTCGCCTAATCAGCTTCCTTTTCTCTGGTATAAATATTTACATCTTATCTAATGTACACCATGGTGGTGCATTGGCGACATTACAGCAACATTCTGACATTAAACTTTAAATGATTGGTAGTTGCTGGGGATAATTACCCGCCATGGACTTGCAGACTGGTCAGTTATGACCTTTTTCGCCAAAATAAATTGTGAGTTTGGTATGAGGAAAGCGCAAACTTTTCCAAAGTTTTACTCAGTTTGGTTGCTTACTGTGAGGCAAAGTCCGTCTCGATTTGGTTACTGAAAAAATGCTGTGGTTCATCATATATTCAAGTCGTCTTGTCACCTTTCCTTACCTCTGGAGTGAATTTGAAAAATCAAATTCAATGATGAATCGCTTGCATGTTGATGGTAGAGTCAAAACAAATCTTTATTACTAGCAGTCGATATGTGTTACCTTTTTAGATAGGATAGGATTTACATATTTATCCTGGGGGATAGGAAGGCCGATAAGATGGACTAATCATATGCGGAACCACAGCCTCTCGTCCAGCAATCTTCTCGCACATAATTAACTTTGCATGGGATTCGAACCTGCGAACCAACACGTGGTAATCAGAGGTGCGATGGCGAGCGTATTCCTAATGCTTAGCAAGATGCGCCACATCACCAATTTGTCACTTTTTGATCACTGTATTTTTGTCTACAGACTACCATTCGTGGAAAAATGTTCATCTCCCCTATCATAAACTTCACCTCGGAAAACAAAATGTTGTTCCAAAAAAATGTGATGGTATCAATTCATACAACTTATACTGCTGCAGATTCTGACAAAAAGATTCCAGTACAGGTGAATAGTTTAGATCAGTGTTTTTCAACCTTTTTCGAGCCAAGGCACACTTTTTTCAGTGAGAAAATCCCGCGGCACCCCACCAGCTGAAAATATGGGGAAAAGACCTAATATTCACAATATAAGTGTTATATTGTTAATATAAGATTTTTAACATTGAAGAAAGATGTTGAATAGGACATCCTGAATAGTAATCAAATAAAAACAAAGACAAAAAGAAAATCGCCACCTGATGCTGCCACGGTCTGATATAGAACAGTACTACATGATTACTCTGCCGGGCGCCACACCGCATAGACACACAACTTGGGAAATTTCCCACGGCACCCCTGACAATATTTAACGGCACACCGGTGTGCCGCGGCACCCCGGTTGAAAAACACTGGTTTAGATCATACAGCGTTATTATGTCATGGCGGGATGATTTCCAATTTTTAAACTACACTGAAAAAAGGGAATATCCAAACATGACTTGTGGGCTAAATCTCCACTTCATGGTGACATTTTATCTGGCCCTTAGAAGCATTTTATCAATGACAGATTTCCACAAAGCCTAAAACTAAGATGACTGAATGCATTCATTTCAGCCATCAAATGCCCAAGGTGAATTGAGTATTGAATACATTTAGATTACTTATAAAATTTTTGTACTCACACAAGTTCAACATAAATTAAGATTATAATAGAAGCTTAGCATAAAATTTTTTTACCTCGGATAGCTTAAAACAATTTAGAAACGATGCAGATTGCGTAGATGAAAAATTATTTGTGCTCTATTCTCAGGTAATCTGGAGAAGAGATTCCCAAACACCATTTAAGAATCACATTCAAAAATTGGATCATGGCAATGAGAGATTTATAACCTTTGAATGCAAACATTTTTGTGGGTGAGTTGTTAACATTGCATAACAAGAAATCTGCATTAAGATTTGTAATAAATCATAGAATCTAAGGCTGACATGGCAAACTACGGCCGCATGCCGAATCCAAACCGTTGGGTAATTCAATCAGGCTCATCGAAAAGTTTGATTTTTTAGCTAAAAATAGCTGAAGGAATTTTTTGAGGTTGTGATAAAACTTAGTTTTGGCACGAGGCCTATTGTTTTCCACTTTTAGCTTTTGTAACACTGTAATTAAAATCATGTTCATAAAATGTAACTTTTGCGTCACACTTACATGCAAGTCTAGTTGGGCAGGATATTTGGTCCCTTGCCCGAAAACCCTGCTCACCCCTGATCCAGATCCACGAAAAGGGAAACCGCCGATGAGGTGGATAAATTATATGGCCAACCACACTTTTCATTCAGTTATCTTTCCATGTTAAGTATAAGAATAGCTAATCAGCTATTTATTTTTGATACATGAACTTAATGATAAAGGTAACCGGCCAGTAGTTAAGTATACCACGCTCCGATGTCGCGGAGTCCAGCAATCCACTCGCACATAACTATTCACCAGGATAATTAGGAGTGCAGTGACAAGCACGATGCACCAGTTTGACGATATTTTGATCAAAGTCAGGCAAATATTTTGATCCAATGTGCAAAAAGGAAAGAAACTTCTTCACTGAGTTAAGTTATGGGTATCTAATAAAATGCAAGTAGCTAATGGTAGTTGAATTCCAAGTCTTTCTACTATTTTGGGGCCGCGACAACATGAACAAAAATTACCATATTTCATTCAATTAACGATATATAGATAACAAGATGACTTAACCACAGCCTATAATACAGTTAGGAATGAGAATATATGACAAGTTGAACATTATGAAGTAGAGTATAGTAATCGGTATCTAACCAACATGATGTACTCTTGTCTATATCAAACCCGCAAACCGAGCTGAAAAAATGAGTTGTTTTAAGGCAAACATCATATGACATAACATTTTTGTCAACCACCAAGCTATAGAACTCTTTTTATTACAGTTACAGCATTGTAGCAGATGAGACCCAGTTTCAAAACATGCAAAGACATTACTATTCTGCGGCTTACGTTCGACAACCCAGAAACCAGGAAACTCGCTTCTTACACTGGTTGATATTTGAAGATTGTCCTCACGCAAAGGCAGACAACAGGCAATATCTTTGCGAAAGAGACACCGTGATTGATCCAGAAGGATTTGCAATCAGGTAGGATTTAATTATATATTTAATATAAATTCAATTAAGAAGATAATTGCCCTTACACTGCTCCAGGGACTAGTTCCAGCTGTTCTACATTAGATTTCATGCTTTTATTGTCAGTTAATGTAGATACTAATTGTTGCAATCCCACAAAATGCAGTTTATATATCTTCTGAACCGAGTTCAGGGGAATTTGAGTCTATTTTTTGGTATTTCAAAGAATCGCGTCTTGAGTTTTTTCCTGATAATTTGGCACAGCACAGACAAACAGTTTGGGAACCATTGATCCTATGTTACAAAGGAAATCTGATCTGTGAGATGGTGAACTTGTATGATGCTTTGTCGTGCCTTTTGCTCTGAACAGGGTATATACAAGTAGCCAATGATATCTAGAGATATTTTAAGAACTTTTTTTTATTTGAAAGAATCAGAATTTTTCCTCTCAAATTATGAATCCAATTTATACATCCTGGGTGAGGTTGGGGAAGGCTAGTTGAGCCAAAGCTTAGTAATCTGCGATTCCAACGCTTTTTAGTCAAATGGTTCAACCCTAAGCCCAAAGTATCCCAAATAATCTGAGTTGAGAACTAGTATTTTTCAAGCGTATGATTGCCACCAGGTATATTCATGTCGATGATAAATAAATCACAAGCTAGCGAAACGATAGTGTGTTTTCCATATCATGCCCTGATGAAGTTTTTCTGAATAGAAATTCAAACGTTGACAAATGAAATCGTTTCGCTGACCTGGTTGTGCTTTATTTATCATTGGCATAGCATTTTTCTAGTTGGATTTATTTGATCTTGAGTAATTTGTTTGTTTCTACTTAGATACAACTACAATTTACAACTCCGCATGAATTGCGAAAGCGTCCAAATTCATGCCAATAATCAACGCCCAAACCTAGTGGAGAAGTGGGGTTCAAGGTTCACAGAGTCCTATCAATTCAAAATCATGAAATGCCAGGAAGTGGATGATTCACCCATTGAATACGAAATCATGGCCATGCATTGCCAAAATCATGCTACGTATCAGGTTATACAAAAGCACTTTTATATGGAATGGCTCTATGAAGCACTTGCTCCTAATGTAGTTGTTAACGCACACGATAGTTCAACTGGACTTTCGATCAACAATCCAACATGTGGCAGAGATTTTCACCACCAAATAAGTCGAGCATCATCGGGATATGAATCAGTTTCTCGATCACCATCTGTACCCGCTCTTTCGATTCATGAAGAATTTAGCCATTCATCAGTGGAGAATGAGCAACCACCGGTACAACAAGAGGATGCTGATGATATAATGGTCACGGATTACGACGTGGATGATGCAAGTATTGCTACTGTACCAAAATCAGAAGCTACTATAAGTGAAGATGATGGCGGTTTCGCTAGTCTCTCCAACGAAAGTCAAAGTTTTTCTTTGTCCCCATTAGCCCAAAGCACCCCAAATTCTACCCGAGTTGAGACAATCGCAAAGGAAGATCGTGATTCTATGATGTGTGATGAGAAAGGGTTTTCTAATAGCTAGATATTAGCTGTTTCCATGTGCCATGTATTTGTATTTTATTAAACATCGGCCAAGGAAACTGAAAATCAAACTCATAACTCAAAGCGCCTCATGTTCGCCATGTGATAATTCGGTAATTTAACTTTAGTTCACCGAATTCAAACAGCCAACCTACAAACTGGTTTTACATATTCTTTTGTTCCATTTCATGTAGCGAAAATGAGGTTATTGTATGTTTTTACTAGTAGTGTAAGAACTACTGAATATAACAATTTGTAGCTTTTATTCACTAATGTCAAATTTGTCACGTACTACAATGGAAATGACAATATTCTCTGGCTGTCGAGCTCAAAATAATAATGTGTGTGGAAGGGGTAGGCGTTAGTTCGAGTCAAAATTTCATCAACATTGTTTTTGCATATTTAATTATTGTATATGGTTCTTGGTAGTTTCTAATATATATTCACTAAATTAATTCCTTTGTTAAGGTAGCTTTTTATAAACATAATATGTTCCATTTATTAAAACTTGAAATTTTGATTATATAAATACTAGGAATTTTATTGGTCTATAAAAAAAAGTTATGTATTGCAAATACCAGACATAGAAAAAATATTTTGATTTTACGAAATGTTTAAATATCTATATTATTCGTTTTCATCAAATGCCTTAAATTTTGATTGATTGATTTTGAATGGTATATTATTCATCACAATTATGATAGATTTTTAAATTAATAAATATTTTTTCCTGGCTTTATCATGTGATCATTTGAATTTTAAAATATTCTTATCAATATTCTATTCTGTAAAATTTCACATAAATAATGAACTTTGTTGCGAAACTTATTCACAACCTTCGCTCTGAACAAATTCACTACCAACTTCTTCTGATATCGAACAATATGTGAGAGGCTTCTACTATTGGTAAGGCCTTGAATCTTACTGATTCACTAAATTTATTACACTCTGGGTAAGGTGAGGGGCACAGGATTTGATTATGAGATCAATCCGTAGGCCATCATATATTTGTGAATTTTGCAGAAAATACTGTGATTGTAGAATCTTGGAAAACATGTTTTTGACAGGACTTTGGCCTATAATTTCGATTGATATAAAGAGCATTGATCCATATACATCAGCATTTTTTTATTGCAAATATTCATCAACATAATAATTATATTACACATTCGAAAGTTCAGGTTGTGTCTAAAAAAAAATACTAAAATATAGAGAAATCGAGAACAACCAAATAGTATTCACAGACGCTCCTTGAAGCCTTTTACATGTCATAAGCTCAAATTTCATATGTTATTTTCATATAAATATAAACTAGCAAACCAATGTTGCATGCTAAAATGGAACATCTGAATATTCAATCTTTTCATAATTCTTCAATAACTGCTTGTACTTATTTATGTTTTAGATTTTTCATATATAATTTTCAATACAATCTGTAATTTGTACATAATAGCGTTTTTGTCATCAACAAAAAACTTTTTTTTACAGATTTTCTTGTGATAATGAAATTCCGATTTTCCTCATTTTAGTTCTCTTAAGAGTTCAGGGACTGTCTGTGTTAGCCAAGTAAATATACCCCCTGCCCATAGGCTTCCGTCCCTTTACACAACTTAGGCGAAAATGTAAAATAGGTGAAAAAAATTAGTTACCTCCATCATATTGGTATACACGTTTCTGGAGCGCCCAGGTGCCTTGGAGCTATAATGCATACAGGGGTCAAAATTTGTACTGTGCATTTTAAAACAATAATTGAAGTGAATATATTAATCTACCGGGTTATCAACAAAATAATATATTGTCAAAGCGATCTTCTTGATTTGGGTCACTCACCAAATAGATTCCAACGCCAATGAGATGGAATCAAAATCGTAAAAATACTTTATACGTTTGTGTATATTCTATGAGTTCAATTATTCCTTATGATGTGTGCACTACAACATAGGTTCTCAAAGTGCTCCGTACGGAGCCCCAGGGCTCCGTGAGAGGAACCTAGGGGCTCCGCAAGCTATTTGATTACTTTTCAAAATACTGACTTAGCTAATTTTGTAACTGTCCAAAGAAGCAGTAACAGCTTTAATAAAATTTGACAACCGTATAGCCTCGAAATATGGCAAAGAGTCCGAATTCAAAAATGACATTATTTATGAGCACGGGGATCAAAATTGGAATCGGAAATTTCCGCGCAACATTCTTCGCGTTTAAAAAAAAAACTTTTTCAGCAGATAACGAGATTTTTGTTGCGTAAAATATTCAATCCATGACCGATGCGAGCATTTAAAATGTCTTGTCATAATAATTTAATTGTGCTCACCGTTACTCACTTTTGATTCGAGATTACAATTGGGGTTACTAAAATAAAAGATTACTATTCTAAAATAACATAAAATATGTGATAAACTGCCAACTATAAAAGAACTAGAATCGTATTTTTGCGATCTTAGGATTTGTCAAACTTGATTTTTTTCTTTCACACTCGTGATTATTTTTTAGCAAGATATCGCCATTACAAAAATCCCTAGGTCGACGTTAAAACTCAATAAGTACAATTTACAGTTGTGCAATCCATGACCGATGCGGGCATATTTGAAATAACTTGTTTAATGGGTTAATTGTGTTCAATGTAACCTGTTGTGTCGACTGTTGTCTCGACAATAAAAATCAATACTTCTCAAATTACCACGACAATCCGGGATCATGAAATGAGAAACAATGAAACAAAGTTAAGTGAACGCAGTTCTTGTGGATACCATATAATTCAGGGGGTCTCAACCTGGGGTTCGCGAACCCCCAGGGGTTCACGAGAAGATTTTCAGGGGTACTTGGATGACAGTCGAGTTTTCGTGTGTTGCTTTTTTTAATATCCTTTAATGAAGAAAGTAACTACAAGAGGAAAACGAGAATATCGGTTGGAAACCGAAGACTTATCGATCGATAGTTAGGGGATCCCCCAAAACAGAAACTGCAGTTTCGATTCATCCGCTCTTGTAACTTGCGCACTGCGCATCGCACACACACACTCGGCGGGTCTCAAAATTCTCTCGCTTTACAAAAATCTAGATCACTATATCAATAATTGATCGATAACTCGCTAATTATACCACATAATTCGCCCAAAATCAATAGGCTTCTGGTCCGAGATAAGATGAATGCACATGCAAAATCTGGAGCGGATTCAATCTCGTTTTCGTGAGATATCGCGTGCATCTAACAGACAAACATACAGACAAATACCTATCAACATACTTACCGATTAAAATCGATAAGTAATAAGTACTAATTGAAACTTAGTGTACATTTTCCCTGTGCTTACGTTGTTGCGATTGTAACGCAACAATGTGAAATGCACGGCTTGGCAGTCGTTGCAGCAAATTGTTAGTCAATATATCACAATTTAGTTTGGTGTCTGATTACTTGGGGTTCGCGTTGATTGTTTCGTGACTCGGGGGTACTTAACGGAGAAAAGGTTGAGTACCCCTGATATAATTGAACAACGCTGTTGTCATAAAATATTAGAAACAAAGTCAAATGGTTTCAAAAGAACATATATACGGTACCTACTATGGTGGCCCATCGTTGTCACGCGTAAAATTGAAAATAAAAATAAAAAATAAAATAAAAAACCGATAATAAAAAAAATTTTGTGAAAAAACATAAAAATAAAAAAATAAAAAAAAATAAAAAAAATTAAAATTAAAAAAAAATAAATAAATGAAAACAAAAAAAAAAAAAAATTAAAAAAAAAAAATTAAAAAAAAAAATTGAATAAAAAGAAAATAAAAAGCTTGACAACGATGGTCCGCCTCGTGGCCCATCGTTGTCACGCGTTTTTATTTTTAGAAAATTTGCTTTTGCTTGGGACCAACGTTGTCAGGCATAATCCTACGCGCACAAATGTGTTCCCTGGGTTTCAAACTCACTACTGATTTTCTTGAGCAATATTTAATATGAAAATGTTCTATAAATTCTCCATGCTACAAGTTCAACAAGAAGTAATATATTTATAATAATGATAAGAGAATATAGAATTGAATACGAAAATTCGGAAAATTTGTTTTTACGTGTATAAGGTAATTTGGAGAATGCTGCTTAACTACTCAGTTGTCTGGACACTCGCGATGCCGGTACCGTACCGTCTTACCAAATACCGGTAGTCGGTTATAGTCGCTTTGCGTCTGACCGTACCGGTAGCCATACAATCACTCATCATCTCCCATTCTTTCACGAGTGATTGCATGGGTACCGGTACGGTCAGACGATACCGTACCGGCATCGCACGAGTGTCTGAGCAGTTAAGCAGCATTTTCCAATTAAATTACCTTCTACACGTAAAAACAAATTTTCGTATCCAATTCTATATTCTCTTATCCTTATTATAAATATATTGCTTGTGGTTGAACTTGTAGCATGGAGAATTTGTAGAACATTTTCATGTTGAATTTATTGGATATTGGTCATGAAAATCAGTAGTGAGTTAGAAACCCAGGAAACACATTTGTGCGTGTAGGATTAAGTCTGACAACGTTGGTCCCAAGCAGCATCAAATTTATAAAAAATAAAAACGCGTGACAACGATGGGCCACGACGCGGACCATCGTTGTCAACCTTTTTATTTTCTTTTTATCCAATTTTTTTTTTCAAATTTTTTTTTTTTTTTTCAATTTTTTTTTTTAATTTCAATTTTTTTTTAATTTTTTTTTTGTTTTATTTTTCAATTTTTTTTTTAATTTAAATTTTTTTTATTTCTTTTTTTTCAATTATTTTTATGTTTTTTCACAACTATTTTTTTATTTTCGCTTTTTCATTTTATTTTTTCATTTTTTTTTTAAATTTTACACGTGACAACGATGGGCCACCATAGTACCTACTACCGGTGCCAGAAGTTTGATAACATATTTGTGCCGCTCCGATCAAATCATACTCGTAATCATGACTGATTGCGTGGCAGTGTGGTAAATTATAGCGATTTGGCCAATCGAACAAATTTGAGCCGTTCTTGCAACACTAACTCCTATGCTATCACAGGTCTGCTACTCAGATTCTTTGCAAGATATCACAGTTTAAAAAATCACAAGATCTGTGCAAAATACGAAAGATTGAAATTTATGTTATTGCATGCGGCTCCGTCGGTAGTTTCATAATGGATAAAAGGTACATCGCACGCACAATTGACTGTGTTTCGATTTCAGTTACTACGATGAAGCACCAAAGAAAACCAACATAACACCAAATTTTGTGATTTACAATGTCTAAAAAAGCGTTTTTAATCTGTCGTGAGTCTGCTGAAACAAAACTTAAAGTGTTATCTTCCGCTTTAAGTTTTAATTTTAATATTTCATGATGCCGCTTTTCAGGAAATTTGAGTTGCGGATTTACCTCTTTATTAATCATTTTTAGCATCTTGTCGCCGGTGACTATAATATGGTAACATGTTTTTCACATTGAACCCCCTAACAAAAAAGCAATTATCGTCGTCATTGTATCTGCCGGAGGAAATAATTTTTGATTTAGAGCAGGGGTTCTCAACTCTTTTTTCTGTCAAGTACCCCCCGAGTCGCGAAACAACCAACGCTAACCCCCAGTAATCAGACAGACAGACACCGAACAAAGTTGTGATATATTGACTAACGATTTATAGAAACAACAATTTATTGACCAGATGTAACTAAATTAAATCTTCGTGTTGATATTATTGCCCTTGTCCTCCGCCTAACTATTGAATTCTTAAAATCTCTCTTATGTTTTAATAAGCATAATCACTTTCTCCAATGCTCGCAGCACGCCGTCTTTCAAGATTTTACAGTTTGCCTGCAAAGCCGTGAATTTCACATTGTTGCGTCACAATCACAACAACGCAACATCAGAGAAAATCTACGTTAGTTTCAATCGACACGCATTTCCCTCTGGTAGTAATAAAGGATATTAAAAAACACACAAAAACTCGACTGCCGTCCAAGTACCCCTGGAAATCTTCTCGTGAACCCCTGGGGGTTCGCGAACCCCAGGTTGAGAACCCCTGATTTAGAGGAATAAACACCGACGTAAAGATGTCTAAGGTTTAAAAAACACGTCACGCTGACGAAAAACAATCGGCGATTGTAACAAAATGCAATCGCGCACGTTATTAGCACGGAAATCCTAAATTGCCCCTTGATAACTTTAATAATAATAACTTTAAATTGCCGACTCATTCACTCATTTCTTTATCTTATATATATTTTATTTAATCCCATTTGCATTTACCCATGGTACTATATTATGCCATGATAAGCTTATATACATCATATACACAAGCAGCCTAGATGACCTTAATCGGTCCTGCACACCGACCCGCACAAAACAATAATCAATTGCTGTTTATTACTGATGAAATATTTTCTTCATTGTATTATTATCTATTATTGTTTATATTAGTGTTGATTTTATTTTTGTGGCAATAAATCTCTCTCTCTCTCTTATTAGCGACCTTTTAAGACTTACAAAAATATCAAAAGGAAAAAGATTCGATCCCTAATTTATTAATATGTTTGCCAAGTGTCAAATTTACAAATATATATATAATTTATCTTTGGAATTTCGATTTATTTATGACTCGTATTAACCCTAATAAAAAAGGTACAGCATTCAAATTGTGCCTTTAATAACTTACTCAGAAATATTAATCAGAAAGTTACAATTTTGAAATTTGTTTTAGGGCTCCTTGAATAATAGTCAAACTCTTCACGGGCTCCGCAACAACAGAAGTTTGAGAACCCCTGCACTACAATATAATATATAATTCAATCATATTATTGGAGTGAGTTTATATGTTTATTTTAAACAGTGTTACTCACATAGTGGATTGACTCATCATGCTAAGCGTTAGGAATACACTTGCCACCGCACCTCTGATTACTCTGCGTGTGTTCGCAGGTTCGAATCCCACGCAGGGATGGTGATGTGCGTGAGAATTGCTGGACTCATCTCGGTCGCTGGGTGGTTGCTGTAACCGGTCGGTTATGGCTTCCTCCATACCGGACGAGAGGCCGTGGTTTGCCATATGGTTAAGACGTCTTATCGTCTGTATCGAAGACTGCTTAGCCATATGATGAACCACAGCCTCTCGTCCGGTTACCATTCCATGTCGGGAATGGATTAGCTAGTTTTTTTAGGTAAGACACAATAGCCACGCCGCGACAACTATCTCATCAAAATATTTCATACCGGAAATATTTATATTACTATATCGGAATTTTGATTTATGAAAAATCACGAATTAAACGAAATCTAGATTGAACTTAAAAATTACGTCGCGCATACGACGTAATTAAGGTTAAAGGTCATGATGTGACGCCGCGAAATTCAAACTTGGTAAATGGCCTTCAATTACAATTCCGTCTTTCGTGCGGAAGGATTATTTAACGCTAAGTATTGTTAGGGACTTGATGAATACGGTGTCAGCAACATCTTTATGTGTGATTCGGATATTGTACGTCCTTACTGGCATGAGATTAACTTGTAAGCAGGATTCGCCAGTTACCGGTATGTGACGGTGCTCTGGTGCTTCAGTAAGATAACTCTCATAGGGTAACTGCTCAGAAGTTTGCTAACACCTGAACATTGTAACACAACCTATTTCTATATGTATTAAAATTGCAAATTTATTAAACTTTCAAACACTCAATGGATTAGACAGCATCTCCTGATAAAGGCAGAAAAGAAAGAGGGTCTGGTATAGTTTAGTACCACATGTAGGTACTTTTAGTTGGCCTGGCGCAACAATTTTTGCATATGTCAATCCTAACCCCCACCTAATTACGTCACATAAAAATTACGACATTTCGACGTCACAGTGGCGTAATAAGGCCCACCAAAGTATGCGGATGGTCGTATAAAACACGCAGACGATCACCAGATCACCCAAAATCGTGCAAGCTATTCCTCTCGTTTTCTCGCCACAAAGATCACGATAGGAGAGAGATCGCCGGCGTTAGCGAGTTCGTTATTGGCGGCGCATATGCCATTTCGGGCGATCTTAATTATACTTTGGCAAGCCCTATGACGTGGTGGTGACGTCGTAGTGACGTAATTTTTGGATGGCATAGTCAGGTCAGCAGGTGGGGGTTAGGAAAAACATATGCAAAATTCGTTGTGCTACGCCCACTGGAAGTACTTGTGGTACTAAACTATACTAGACCTAGGAAAGATACCTATCAAATATATGCCAGATTATTTAATTTTCTTAAGTTAAACTTATTGAACAGTTATTTTCAGTTTTTAATTAAAGACGTGAGAGTGGAAAAATCTTTTTGAAATGGGAGACAATAACGGAAGGTTTGTATAAAGATTATACTAATCAAGTAGTGGCTCAGGCCTATACAGATATATGGTTATAGCTCAGTTTGGTCGAACCAATAGGATTTACCTATGTATCTTGGGGGAGAGGAAAGTCGACAAGACGAGAAGCACAGTTGGCGTAAAGTCCTTAGTCAACCTCGATCTCCGAGTCCAGCAATCTCTTTGAAACAAAACTATCACAGTATACCGCATGGGATTCGAATCTGCGAACCCACCCAAGGGAATCAGAGGTGCAGTGGCGAGTGTATTTCTATCACTTAGCATGATGTGCCACACCACCACCAATGCCTGAATGCTGTGAAAAGATGATTTTTTGCTGTCACGTGAACATATTCTAAACTGCTGCCTGTATGAAGAAAATTAGTGGTAGAAACAGTGTTTGTGGAGGAAGCCGTAACAGACCAGCGTTTATGTGAACCAACCTACGGCGACCAACCAACCTACGCGAAACACCCCTTAAATCTCATTACGATTACCTGGTTTGTTATGTTAATTTCCTGGATTTACCTAGTTGTTTGTTTTAGTCTGTCAAAATAGAAATAATTGGGGCATGACTGAATAGAATATTTACTATGTCAATGAGCAAGTGACAGCGCTGCCTTGTTGACTCTATTTCCATCAGCCTGCCAGTTGGTTGAAATCAAATCATACCAAATGGTACTGGTTTCTGGCAGTCATTATTTAACTATTCACTAAATGAATATTTATGTGCTATCTTGCCATGTCTGTATAATCTATTATTACCATTTTTGCTATATTTGAATCTTTTTATTAGGCCCGAACGAATATTTTGGACTCTGACATATGAAAAACCTCAACCACCTACTCCATTCAAAGTGTATGTAGCAGCATTCCATGGTGAATTTGAAGAAAAATTGTTGGAATCCTTACGTGAACATAATTTACAATGGGGTGGATTTCGAGAATTCAACTTGGGGTAAGCGATGAAATACTCAAATTGCATTAGTTATAATATGTCACTTTTGGAACATGCATGAGTAAATGCGTATTAAACATATTTCAAAATTGTTATTAATGCAAGAAATGTAATGAGAGACAATGATATGGTGTTTTTATACGAAATTCAGGAATTTTGCTGTGCAAATTTATTTGCTCAAAATGACAATTTTTCAAAGTAAACAATTCTATTTGATTCCTTAAGCTAAGCATTTATATTATGGAACATAACTAATCATATACAACTGTTGTTGTATACCCATGTAGAGCTTCTTTTTGACTTTAGATAGGATAGGATTCACATATTTATCCTGGAGGAGAGAAAACCTGATACGGTGGCTTAATCACATGGCGTAGCACGTCCTCTATCTTTAATTTTTAAAAGTAATAACCTATAACATTAAGGCGAATTGATAAATTTCTATATTTTTTAAACAATGGCCGAACTGAGAAAAAAATTTCTCAACATTGTTTTATATTTTTGGCAGACTGGAAGATACGATTACTATAGAGATTGAAGCAAAGGGGTTTTCTGTGGGAACTAAACCTGTTACTATGAATTGGAATACCATTCGCTTTGCTAATTATGAAATCTTCGATCCTATTGAGGTATCGTACCTTGAGCCTTCAATACAAGAAACATGTGAGTTGAAAGTTTGGTTAAAAAGATTGAAAGAAGATTGTGTGGAAGGCTACAAATTTTCAATTAATGGAAAAAATTCTGAAAATAACCAGTTATTGGTTATTGATAATGATTCATCGACCAGCGAAAGTTATCACACTGCATCAGAAGGGAGTCCACCAAAATGGCCAGAGCTTGATGAATTGCCGGGATGTGCTTCGTCTAATGACCGAACACTGGATTCTGGCATCATGTCACCTGGAAGTGCTTTCATTGGCTCTGTTGGGAGTTCATTGGGTTCTGCAGTTAGAAGTTATGGGCAGGAGTTTGTTTCGCAAACAGCTTCCCCAATTCTCACTCAGAGGCCTTGGGCTTCAGCTGATAATCAAGATAGCAATCTTTCTGGCATTGATCAAAAATTCTCCGAATTAAAATTTGATGATTTCGATGATGAGATTGAAGGAGACATTTATGTAGGACAAGAATTGTAGTAATAGGTCCAGAGATCCAAAGTGAAAGAACTTATTTGGGTACTTCCAAGATATGTGAACCAAGATGGCGAACACCAGAATGTAGTATGTGTACCTGGTTAGGGTTGGGCCATAGTTTCAAGTACAAATACTACGGGAGTCACTCACTTGGCTAGAAGTCGAACTCGTAATAGAACTAAGATAGGGAAAATTAGGGCCTAACCCTAAACTGGTTCATATACTACCTTCTAGTATTCCCCATCTTGGTTCACATACTTCGGGAGCACGCTTATTTGTTTAGGGATAAAATAATTTTTCCATAAGTGAAATAATTAGGTTTTACTGAATTTTTATCACTAATGTAATTGCTCCATACAAGGGCAATTTGAAAAATCTTCCTATACGTTTCTTTATCTGTTTGTGAAATCAAAATAGATAATTCACTGCCCATTTAGTACATGAAGTTGCATACACTGCCTGACTTCTATATTTATAATTTTACTATTATGGATTCATCTAAATCAGGGGTTCCCAAACTTAATTGACCGCGGGCCAAAATTTGAAGCGGAGGGATGTTCGCGGGCCGGAAGAGTGTAGCGCCCGAAAGTGCGTGGCATGTCTAAGCTTTTATGGTTCATAACTAAATTACTGCCCTATGTAATCATAATACCGGTACGAATAACTGAGATAATGCTTTAATTGAATTGTTCCGATAAAAACACGTGCTTAAAGTGTGATAATGGCATAACACTTGGCGCTATCTTGAATGCAAAAAGGTGAAACAAAATCTGTTGCACTAACTTCCACACTATTTCACTCAAGCTCGGCGGGCCATTTTAAATCGTTATGCGGGCCGGATTTTGCCCGCGGGCCGCGGTTTGGGAACCCCTGATCTAAATGGTTCAGTAATATGAACGGTAATTCCTATATTATTATAAACTATTTCCATAGTTGGCTTGAACTGGTACTGAAGCCTTGACTCATGACTGACCAATACATTAAACTGTAACTACCGTAAGTTGTCTTTTTAAATTTTCCGGATAATTGTGAACATTTATATTTCTACTAAGTTGATATTAAATCATGGTTTTATTCAATTTATGTGATGTAGTTTTCTTTGAATTTTTGCACTGCTTGTGTTACTGAAAAAATTGTAATATCATTAGCCCAAGTCCAGACCAAGTTTGAATCATGTATATTCTGCTTTGAAGTCAATTTTGCAAGTGCTTTTTGTAGGGCAATAATAGGCTGTTTTCAAACTTGATTGTGACTAGAATGAAAATTTCTGAAGTTTATGAATCTGGGACACAAAGCAACTGGTCAGCCATTCCAAAACACAAGCTGTTTTCTAGATAAAAAACGTCATGTATTGCTTGGTATTATTAATAGTGTGTTATGAATTACTAGTAACAAAAATGAATTATTTGATTTACTGTATTGCTATGAGTTTTAATAATATTGTGCCTATTCAAATTTTAATCCACTATCGTTAATTTGTTTGCACCAGTGATATCATTGCATTATCTATCTTCAAATTTTAACTTTATCCTAAATTTCTTGCACTGTTCTGCTCCCTTCTTCATATTGATCTTATACAATTGTGTTCTTTGTACATTTTAACACAGATGAGCTGTAAATTGTTACAAACGTTACTTTTGTAATGATAAATTATTTTAAATTTCCGTCCTATTTATTCGTCCAGCATAATGTCATGCAAGTACAGAATTTATCTTATCTAACTCAATCTTTGTGAAATAAGGAATGTTTTATCAACGAGAAAACAATAAGGAAAATTAAATGAATACTCGAATAATTTCAATTAATTAGTGTATTTGTCATGTATGACAATGTAAAACAATTGTTTAAACATATGATCCTGGTATTCTCGTCGTAATTGTCCATAAAGTTCCATTACAAGTTCAATTTTGTTATAAAGTCAGTTCTCAATATATCCTAACCAGGTCTGTTGTTTTTTATTCAGCAATTGTTCAAGTATTTTTACTTCATTCCATACATCTGTGATGGCCTAAACCAGTGGTCTTCAAACTTTTCAAGACGCGACCCCATTTCAAAAAATTATGACGTATGATGAGCATTGGCGCCCCCAAAAACCAATAAAAACTGATCACTCATTTACCCGATTGCTTCTCTTCGCAGAGCTTTTGAGATTGTGGCATAAGGTAGCTTAAGCTTCTTATCGATAGAACTTTTTGACAAACAACGCATTTCGGTTGGCACTTTATTTCGGTTAAACCGTAATGTTAAACCAAGCTTTAAATAAAGATTGATCACATGACCCATTCTTTTATGTTTATCAGCTATTTGTGAAACTTAGCAAACAATAAAGCAAACGCAACGGTCATAGTCCATTTCAGTGAACACATAACAACTGTTTACTTTAAAATTTAAATTATTGTCGTTACATAATAGTCTTATTATAGAGATATCACTCTAATTCAGAATATCGCTAGTCGGCCTAGTGAAGTGTAGACTGCACACTGTTGTGTATCAATCAGCTCATTCTTTTCCACACGAACCCATTTGTGATCAACATGTCATAATTATTTTCTCGTAATTGTCTCTTGTCTGCATGCTTATTATGCGTGTGAAATGTAGCCTATAGTTATTATGTGTTATACTGACGTTTAATTTGAAATAAACAGTAATATTTTTGTCTACTGACAATTTGGTAATATCCAAGACATCACACACACAATAAAATAATAACAGAAGAAAACATTGCCGGACACTCTGCGACCCCATAAATATTCAAGGCGACCGCACCTGGGGTCGCGACCCACACTTTGGTGATCACTGGCCTAAACAATATATGATATCGATAAATTCCCATTACATTTTTAAAAAATTTACTTTATGGACGCGCTATATTATTCTTGCAGATGCTCCACTTTAAAATTTGGTTGTTTCTGATCGTCATTTCAACTGCCCTTCCAATTGCTTCTGAAGTCTGAATTTCAGTTTAGTTAATATATTTTACAATTAACATTTTGTCGAATAATTTGAAGCGTATTCGTATTAAGAAATGCTTTTGCTTGAATTAAATGCAATTTGAAGTCAAATACGATGTTTACATAATATGCCATATGTTGGGAATAACTGAGAAAAAGAAATAAGTCGTGAATATAATCTTCAATTTTTAAAGGTTTGTTTATGTTTGCTTTCCCAAAGTATATACCGAAGTCGATCAAAGCCATGTTATGTATTATAACAAGGAAATGTAAATGACATATAAATCTCCAATCGGCGAAATTGGAATACATTCAAAAAACAGGGGTGAATGAGGGGCAGTGTCTGTTTGTTGGACCGTTGACAGGGAAACATCAGTCGCAAATATATAAACTCATTGACGGCCTTATGACTCGTGGAAGTTGATAGGTAATTCGAAGTTTATATTTTATAATTGAGAAAAAGTTTTTGAATATCGTTTTTATTTTTTAAAGGTTCAAGTGTTTTCTTTTCCGAAGTCAGTAGTACTATCGGGACACTGTTGGAATTAAAAGCTATAAATGAAGTCAATGAAAGCCAGGTAATGTTTATTAAATGGGAAATTTAAATGGCACATAAATCTCCAATCGGCGAAGAAAAATACATTAAAAAATGGGGGTGTATGAAGGGCAGTGTCTGTTTGTTGAACCGTTGATAGGGAAACATCAGTCGCGAATATAAAAGGTCATTGACGGCTCTATTACACATGGAAGTTAAACATGCGTATAGTATTTTTCAACCGGCAAAATTGGTATTTACTACGGGGGTGTGGAAAAGGCTTATTTGGATTTCTCTCGAATCTTACGAATTATGACACATACGAACGGGTAAATGCGGAGTTCATATTCCATAATTGAGTAAAAGTTGGTGAATATATTTTTAAAGCTTTGTTTATGTTTTCACTCGCAAAGTTATTAGTGATATAAGGACATTGTTGCAATTTAAAAGCTATGAATGAACTCAGTAAAAGTCAGGGGATGTTTTTATGACATCGGAAATTCAAATGGCATATAAATCTCCTATCGGCGAAGAAAAATACATTCCAAAAACGGGGGTGTATGAGGGGCAGTGTCTGTTTGTTGGACCGTTGACAGGGAAAAATCAGTCGCGAATATAAAAGCTCATTGGCGGCTCTATGACTCGCGGGAGTTAATAGGCATATAGTATTTTTCAACTGGCGAAATTGGTATTTACTACGGGGGTATTAAAAGAGCCAAGTTATGTTTGAATTTCTCTCAAATTTTACAGATCATGACAAATACCACCGGGTTTATATTCCATAATTGAGGCAAGTTGGTGAATATTCAATTTTTAAAGGTTTGTTTATGTTTTCTCTTTCAAAGTTAGTAGTGATATCAGGACACTTTCGAAATTTGGAACTATGAATGAAGTCAGTGAAACGCATGTGATGTTTTATGACAAGGGAAATTTAAATGGCATATAAATCTCCAATCGACGAAATAAAATGTAGTTTAAAAACGGGGGTGTATGAAGGGCGTCTGTTTGTTGATTAGCCATTGGCGCGCAAATGAGAAAGTCGTTGCGGGGAACATAATAAATGAAATCCCATTGACGGCTTTATCTCGTGGAATTTTAATGGCATATAACCGAAAAAAATGATATTTACCACGGGGTTGGGGAAAAAGCGAAATTCTGTTTGAATTTTTCTCTCGCAACTTACAAAGTATGACACGTCAAATACGAACGGGTTAATGCGAAGTTAATATTTTTCGAGCTTCTTCCGTCATTGTAGGCTTTCTCTCCTGCTCCAGGTAAACTCTGTGACCTTTGTTCCCAGTCGTGGTATCAGACGATGTGGCTTTTATAAGCCAGCAATAAGCGACAGTGAATAAAGCAGATTATTGCGCCACTGACAATAGACAATTTGAAGCACTTTCCCTTCCATACACACCAGGGGAATCACCGAAAATTTTAGCTTTCACGATTTCAAGTGTGTTGCCATCCAGCTAGTTATATTTTGAGATCGAATCATGGTTCATAATATATTTGCGTGATTAACATGAGATATTATATTATTGTGTAATGTATTTTGTTATTTTCATATTTTACCCATATTGTCTATGTTTAATAATATCAGAGAAATTAAAACTATATCCTATTGAGGAACACTCATTTCGCGCCTCGTGACTGAAAATAGATTACATGCCATGTGATGGAAATGCGAGATAAGAACCATGTTTATTTTTTTCTATATTTTTTCCCAATTCAGTCTAATATAATAGCTTCTATATTTTTTCCCAATTTAGTCTAATATAATAGCTGAGCAATCACACTACATAGCGAGACAACGTGCACGCCGTTCAACTGAGAAGCATAGCCTGTGTACCCATTGTACAGTATTTAGTGGGAGAAGGTTTAAGCAGAGATAGATTTAAAATGCGTTTGATTTATTCAATTTTCATTGACAAATATTAGAAAAGTGAAAAATAAAAAAGTTATATTCCAATTTCGAAGTATTTGTAATAGATATATGTTAAGGTCCTTTTGTTTTATAGTTTAGTGAGTATCATTTGCATCCTTCGGTACTACTGACAGTTTTTAAATGAATTGATAGTGTTTTGATCTTTTGTGTGCCCCGATTTTATCAGTCTTTTTGCGTTTTAATTAAACATCGTTTTAGGTTAGGCCGTTAGGGTATTACTACTCTTCATTTTGAATGTCTTATTCTTCTTTTCCTATTCTCTTGTTTATGTTAAAGTATTTGAAATAGAAAAGAATAAATGGTTTAATTTTCACCTCATATAATGTTTTGTTTTTACAATACTTTCCAGAATAGGTAGTATATATAGGGCAATAATTATGTAACACCAAAAATTTCACAATCGCATAATTTTAGGCCATCATGCTAGTGGAAATTGCTGCGGGAATATTTGCCATCACTGTTGTGCTGTTTTTAAAATGTCCTATTATTTCTCCATGGTAAGTACTGCAATTATTGAATGAAATATTTATGAATCATTTTTTCTGTGTAGAAATATAGTGGAATTTTTTACAGCATTATCATGATATTGTGAGAATATGGAAAAAGAAAAAATTGAAAATGACATATTTGAATAATTTTTTCTAGATAGAAACAGTGAAATTTACTGGATTGTCTTCATAGGATTGATATGAGATTATTCTAAAAAAATTGAAATACTCGCTCATTGAATTTTGATTCTTCATCAAGGCTGGATTCACAATTAAGCAAAATAAGCATGTCCTTAGGCTGTTAGGGCACCAAAAGAAAGCGGTACCACAAAATTTTTTATAGCAAATTTAGGTTGATGCCTCGGTGTTAAATGAAATAATTGGAGTTGTTCAGATGACACAAACCTCAATATTGGCCTGGCTGAATTTGTTTACAAATATCATTTTAAACTAAATAAATGTTTGTAGGAATGAGAACTAATCCAAAAATTTCGCCAGTTTTACTATTACTATTTTTTTCATATAGGGGGCCAAAGTCTTAAGTGCTTGGGGCCTCTTTTACGCATGATCTGTCCCTGTTCTTCGTATTTATTCTAAAGAATAAAGGCATATTTAGAATGATGAATCAAATTAAAAATTATGACTGCTCTCCCAGTTAACAGTTTGGGTACAGAAACGTCCAACCAACTACAGAGTTGTTTGCTTTTCATTATATGAATTGAGTATTTTGACTGTAAAATGCGGGCGGGAATGATCCATGTTGAATGTGGTCGTTTTATAATAATTTGATCTATAGATTATCAGTTGACAATCGAGAAGGCATTTTTACTTGAACAAGCAATTTTTTGCTGAATGGAATTTTATAAAAAAAAGCATTTTTGTGTGGTGAGAGACTTTATTTTGGATTATTTACTACCATATAAATTAAGCTCTCTTCAATGCAGTAGTGACAAACAAAATCGCTTAAAATAATCTTAAAAAAGAACAAACATCATTGTTATCACTTTTTTTAAATGTCAAATTTTGTTAGGCCTATTAATAAAGATTTAATCAGGCCTTAGGCAATGATGGTGAATTTTTACAAAAAGTACCTGGTTATAAAATAAGTTTGATTCAATAAGTGTAATGAACGAAATTATGTTTTAAACCTAATAGGAATTCTTTTCATTGCAAATACACATTATTTATTCCAATCCAAATTTTAATATTTTTGTAATGAAATTATGCCGCTATATGTAAATTATTCAAGATTTTTGTCCTGAAAATTTTTATTCATTTTTTTTTTCTTACTTTTACTTACTTTTTTATACCTTACTTTTTTTTCTTTTTCTTAGGATTCTCTGCAATGTAGTTCAAAACATCAAGCAAAGAAACAGTGCTGAAGTAAGTAAAATTAATTTAGAGTATTGTTGTTCAAATGATATATGGCCTCTAACTCAAACTTGGGTTTTGTATAAGCATTCCCATATTTTGAGTGACTGAAATTGACATGAGATCTTGGCATATTTGTTTTCAACCTGCCATGCCGAATAAATCTATTTATCTATCAACCAAAGATTTGGATAAATCAAAATTAATTTTATTTCCATGACTTGAAATTGGAATTATCATTTCAGGCAACTATTATCAACATTAACAACAATGTACCCAAGAAAAAGAAAAAATCTGACTTTCATAAGAAGAAGAATAAAAGTAGAGATTCACACAGAGGTAAGGATTTCTTTTTTTAATAAAAAAATTTGGGATTGTTTTTTTATGCTAAAATGTTTCAGAGTATTTCTGTTATGTGGAATTCCCCACCACTGATCTTTGTTGGTATTGAACTGCTTGAAGTCTCACATTATTCGTTGCTTGCCTGTGCCTATGATGCCATTATTGGGCGCATGTTTACTAAAAGCCGTATTTTTGCATATGTTATTCCTAACCCCCACCTTGCTACGGCATACAAAAATTACGTCACTACGACGTCACAATCACATGATAGAGCTTGCCAAAGAAAAGCTACGATCGCCTAAATGGCATCTCCGTTGACGATAACGAACTCGCTAACACCAGCAATCTCTCTCATATCAAAATCGTTACGGCGAGAAAACGAGACAAATAGCTTGCTTGATTTCGGGTGATCGTCTGCACGTTTTGGTTGACAATCCGTATACTTTTTACGGGCCTTATTTCGTCGCTGTGATATTGTAGTGACGTAATTTTTGGATGAAATAGTCAGATGTCTTTGTGTCCATGCATTCAAGTATGTAATTATAGATAATTTCTAAGTAGTTTCTGTAACTTCAGTGGTTGCGTTCCCCTTCCCCCATGATTCCAATTTTGTTCATTTCTGGTTGAGTGATTGTGGCTTTGATGAGAGCAAAATCCCATAAAAAAATTACGGTAGTCTATATTGCTCTTGAGTTACTATAGTTTAGAAAAATATTTGAATTAAGATTAGGAATATGGCAATCAAGATTTATTACTTATCGATCTTAAGATCGGTAAGTATGTTGATAGGTATTTGTATGTCTGTGTGTTAGATGCATGCGATATCTCACGAAAGCGAGGTTGAATCTGCTCCAAATTTTGCATGTGCATTCATCATATGTCGGACCAGAAGCCTATTGATTTTGGATGGATTATGTCTTATAATTAGCGAGTTATTAATTAATTAGTGATGAGACACACGGTGTCACTATGGAGTAAGACCACTGTTTGGGGGGATCCCCTAACCTTCGATCGAAAAGTCTTCAGTTTCTAACCGATATTCTAGTTCAATTATTGTTGCTGAGCAAAAGCCATTTTACATTTCCTTCTATAATGTAATTGAAATTTATTGATCGATTGCGATGAACGTGTTGTAATTTTCCATCTCTTTGTGTACTTTTCATGTTATTACACAAAACGTAAATCGATTTACAATGTATCGTCCTATACAATCATTAATTAAAGCCGCAATCGTATTACAAATAGTCAAAATCAATTCGACCACATTACCGTTTAATACTATATTTATATAATAATATGATAACATGTATATTTATTGCAATTTTCTATTCTAACTTTGTGTATTGTAAATAAGTGAACAATAGTACCCACTCTCAGTGGTGAAATTTGGGCCATTTATTTTAACTAAATGCCGTAAGTACTTCTACTTTGCGTGGCACAAACATTTTTGCATATGTTATTCCCAACCCCCACGTTGCTACGGCATACAAAAATTACGTCACTACAACGTCACAATCACATCATAGGGCTTGCCAAAGAAAAGCTACGATCGCCTAAATGGCATCTCTGTTGACGATAACGAACTTGCTAACACCAGCAATCTCTCTCATATCAAAATCGTTACGACGAGAAAACGAGACAAATAGCTTGCTTGATTTCGGGTGATCGTCTGCGCGTTTTGGTTGACAATCCGTATACCTTTTACGGGCCTTATTTCGTCGCTGTGATATTGTAGTGACGTAATTTTTGGATGAAATAGTCAGATGTCTTTGTGTCCATACATTCAAGTATGTAATTATAGATAATTTCTAAGTAGTTTCTGTAACTTCAGTGGTTGCGTTCCCCTTCCCACTGATTCCAATTTTGTTCACTTCTGGTTGAGTGATTGTGGCTTTGATTAGAGCAGAAACCCATAGAAAAATTAGTCTACATTGCTCGTAAGTTGCTATAGTTTAGAAAAATATTTAAATTATGATTAGGAATATGGCAATCAGGATTTATTTAAATATTGTTGCTGAGCAAAAGCCATTTTACTTTTTCTTCTATAATGTAATTGAAATTTATTGATCGATTGCAATGAACGTGTTGTAATTTTCCATCTCTTTGTGTACTTTTCATGTTATTACACAAAACGTAAATCGATTTGCAATGTATCCTCCTATACAATCATTAATTAAAACCGCAATCGTATTACAAATAGTCAAAATCAATTCGACCACATTACCGTTTAATACTATATTTATATAATAATATGATAACAAGTATATTTATTGCAATTTTTTATTCTAACTTTGTGTATTGTAAATAAGTGAACAATAGTACCCACTCTCAGTGGTGAAATTTGGAGGCTCTTGCGATCTCATTTTTGTAATGACGTGATAGTCAGTGAACCTGTTCGTGCCCTTTTGTGGAGAATCTGTTTTAAGAAGTTTGAGACAAAAAGTGTACTCTTAAAATTTCGAATCCCACCATTGCCTAATTTCAAACTGCTTTTTTGCTGCAGCTTTGTGTTATTTTTGACCTATGCAAATTGGCATTTATGTACGGTTTATTGTATCATCAACAGTCATGTGTCCTTGGCAAAAGGCATTGATGATTATTCAATTTATATTTATATTGCGTCAATGCCAATGCAGTTGTGCGTAATCTGCTTCATATCATTATGCGAATCAGCAGCACTGAAGTATTTATTAATTTTACTGATTCAGTAGTATGAAATAATACACTTTTTATTAAATTGTTAAGGTCAGTTAATCCTCCAATTAATAATATATTTTTTCTTTGCATAATGGATAAAGAATTTTTTACATCATTTATTCTATTTCTCTTAGCTTAAATATATCAGATAGTAAATTTACATTCTATAAATCAATATTAAAAATAATTAGAATTTTAAGTTGTCCTATTTTGCAGCCCATATACACCCATACAAAACTCCATCTTGTTGCAATATAGTAGCAAATTTTATTGATATTCAGACCTAAATTTTTATACTACTCTGTTATATTAAACCCCAGAGTCGAGCTTATCCTGAGGAACATAGCATTTATGGCATACAATTCCATGAGGAGGTTTCAAATTTCTTGTTATTAAATTTGGCTAACAGCAACCATTGTTACGTCTTGATTAATAGTGCATGAAATGCCATTACCGTAATATGATCTTTGGTTTTGTTGGCAAGTCTGGAAGTCAGTTTGATTCATTTTGAATTAAAGTTTATTTATAGTTGAGTCGTGACCATACGTATATTTTAGCAATCTCATTGTTTGTTAATTAATTTTTCGGTATTGTTAGGTCGTAATTTTATTCCGATTTTCCTTACTACAGTTCTAATACGAGTTTGGGGAATGTCTGCCACAGACAATATACCCCATGCCCATAGGCCTCAGTCCCTTTACACAACTTGTTGTAAAGTAGGTGAACATAGTTAGTTACCTCCATAGTGGTACACACACTTCAGGAGCGCAATTTATCCCTATTTATATTTATTAAATAATTTTTAAAAATACAGTGAATTAAAGCAAATGTGCACAAATGTTTATCATACAGTGATCATACAGTTTCAAATTTTTAGGAGTGGTTTGACACCTTTGCTATCAGTAAAGTAGTCATTTATATATATGAACGAAATTGTCTCTAACGGTAGGAAATCTTTACAAAACAATTTAATGACAAACTATTTTTTCATACCCAGGGCGGGTTGTAATTTCTAAAATGACATACTAAGTTAAGATAAATGCAAATAAAAAAAAGTGAATTTTTTAAGGAAATTGGTCGAATATGCTCTTTGCGTCAAATAGTTGATATTAATCTCAGCAAGAATTCTATGGCTGTTATTAACTAGGACATCATCTTCAGCATTGTACCATGGATTACTCGGGTTTAAGCTAAAAATATTGTTCATGATAATATTGTGTCATATGATTGCTGTCGGGGGTGTATACGCAACAATATCTAGTTACAGGTAGGTAGGGGGTAGACTAGAGCATCCTCAGTCATATAATAATTGATTTGTGGATAATAAGCAGTCGGCTATTTCATACTCAATCTAGACTGGCAACTAGATAATAGATCTTGATCATTCCTTTTTTTTCACTATCTTATTAGATTTTCCTATCATTGTACTGACATAAAAAAATTTTGGCGCTCCTGAAGTATGTGTACCAATATGGAGATAAATAATTTTGTTCGCCTACTTAACATCAAGTTGTGTAATGGGACTAAAACCTATGGGCAGGGGATATATTCACTGAGCTAACACAGACAGTCGCCAAACTCGTAATAGAACTAAATTAACGAAAATCGGAATAAAATTATGGCCTGACCCTAACACATACTATGGGAGTACCATTTTTTCTCTATTTATCACCTTGGTCTTAATTATGTTCATGTATTTTATTTTCTTGGTAATTGGTTTGTGGTGAAACTATATTCTCAGTTTCCCTTCTCAGAAAAGTGGTGCACTGGAAATTTTCCAACTAGACCGAAATCAATATTTTTAGAATTGTGAAACCTTGTATACTGACGCATGTTGTATCAAATCTTAGAAAATTTTGAACTGTGACTGACAGTCATTTCCAAATATGGGCAAGCTCTCACTTGTAGGTAAAGAATATATGAAAGAATATTTTCTCAATCAACTGAGAATAATAGTTTTCTATATCAAGATTTACTCTTTTGTGGAGACATTTTTGTATGTCAAAAATAGTACATAACATGATTTCTAAATATAAAATAATAACCACTTCAAAAGAAATTAAATACCACATAATCGTTTATTTTTCTGCCATATAAGGTGTCCATACAGTCTTAAAATTTTTTTGAGGAAGTATTTATTGATACCATATATTGTTTTGGCCCTCACAGATGTATTAAATTAGGGTGAAATACTTGAACAATTATTGATCAAAAAACAACAAAGATAAACTGAGAACTGACTTCATAACAAAATTAAAATTGTAAAGGGACGTTATGGACATCCTATATACATGGTAGTTTGCAAATTTACCTTTGAGTGAGTTGTTTACTTGATAGTGAATTCTGGTAACTTTTCTTTATTGATTGCTGTTGACTCATACTCATTAACTAATTAATTTATTGTGCTTGAAATATATCACCAGAATTTGAACAAAACCAAGATTCACACAATCCATAAGGTGTGTTGTGGACCCGATGGCGTAGTAATCTGTCCCTCACAACTCCTGTCATTTCCATGTTCTCAAGAATTTATTATTGAAACTTTTTGATTCGAGTAACAAATCAAAAAACCCCAACTCTGACAATATTTCATATAAATTGTTTTAATGCAGAAAAAGCAACAAAACAAGATGTAACTCCACATAGCCAATCATCAGCTGTTACTGACTTGAAAGCATCTTTATTTCATGGTGAGTAAAATGACCCGAATCTTGTGGTCGGTGTTTACAGAGATCCATAGCACAGAGCAGAGAAAGGAACAGTAGTTATTAAAACGTTACTCAATTATATGATAATATCACTCTTTTTTAGTGTGAAATATTGATGGGTCGAAATTTTATTTCTAGTGCCATTTAATTTATTTAGAGTTGACTGAATTCTTTAGAGCTGCTTCCATAGTCTTGGTAGTCAGTCATAGTTCAACATTGTATGGCTCATATTAGAATTAAAGCCAGAGTCATCTATTATCCTACTTTCTAAATTTGGGAGTAAGAGTGGAAAAATTCCCACCATAGTTTTTGAGGTTCTTTGAATGGCTTTTGAAAACAACTTTTGTTCGACTCCATAGCCTCTACCTCCATGCTTGGGGATATATGATTCACAAGTAATAATGTACCTTTTTATGTAAGTCGTTTGATCCAAAGCTTTTTCCTGGCTGTAGCCAGTGTTTCTTGCTTTGCCAGAATTTATTTACCGGTAATCTTTATTCGTTGCATTTTTATTGAGAACTCTGCCTACCCAAATGAAGAGTATTTATTTATTCACAGTTGCTGACAACAAACTCAATGTCACAAAAGGTGCAACAAGATTAGAGAGCAATAACAAAGAAGAGAAAGCAGCGAAGGTTTGTGCTAAAAAAAGTTTGTTTTCCCATACTGGTTATCGGAGATCGATATGGTGCTGTGAGGGATTTTCAAAGAAGAGAAGATTTCAGGTCCTTTCTCTGGGCCAAGATTGCGTTTTTTACAGGAAATTTTTTAAATTTAAAGTATACAAACATTTTATGAATCCTGTGAGCCCTAATAGAAAGTACTATAATTTCCATACTCTTCATAAGACTTTAAAAAGTTCCCTCAAGTTATTCCATTGAAAGGTACTCTTGTAGTATGTGAACCAAGATGCTGGACACCGGAATGTAGTATGTGTATGTAGTTAGGGTTAGACCATAAGTTCAAGTACAAATACTACGGGAGTCACTTGGCTAGTCCCCGAACTCATAATACAGCTAAAATAAGAAAAATTGGAATAAAATTATGGCCTAACCCTAACCTGGTACACATACCTCGATTTGGACCAGATGCCAGTATGCTTAAATTTATTATGCCATCTATATATTTTTCACAGGTATCTTTACCAATATCTGGCAACACTGCTGTGGAAGAACCACCATTGTCAATTGCTGTTCATCCACCCAACAACCTTCAAAAACTTGACCAAGATGCCCAGAATCGTAAAATTTTTGCATCGGAGAAAGCGACAGAATCTTTTACTTTCACATTGGACCGGTATGGCGGTGTTGTTGAATCCCCATTCTGTCGCTTATTTTTCCCGTATCAGGCAGTTTCAAGAGCAATTTCGATCACAGTGGAGCCAAAATATAGATGGATGGTAAGCCTATTGGTTTAGTTAATACTTTTTTTTATACTTTCTGATCATTCATTTTGCACCATTCAAAGTCCTAGAAGCCAGTATGTTCCCAAGCTTTTTTATTTTAGATGGAAAGAGGGGTGGTAGATATTTTGGTATTAGTGATAAAACTATTTGTGACCTATAAAGATGTTTTATGATTTTGACTGGTCATCTTCACAGGCATATGAGTCACTTTCTGAATATTCAAATACAATTTTATATACATTAGGTCAGTGGTTCTTAAACTGGGTTCGATCGAACCCCTGGGGTTCGGTGGAGCTGTTCCAGGGGTTCGACGAAGGTGCTCTGAAACAGTTGCATATTATGAGACTTTTTATCACCCTGCATACTAATTATGCAAAAATAACTATAGTTCATGATGACTAATTACTAATGACTTGAACAATTGAATGGAACAATTAATTGGTGTTACCCTTATTCATATTCTACCGTACTAATAAAATTTAACTCAATTTTACGGATAAATCGAAGATAGGCAGTAATTGTACATGAATGAATGCAAAATCATAGCGTGTTTGAATTTCACTAGGTGATAAATTTGCGACAAGGAATAGTTTATCGCAGAGCTTTACCCGAAATTATTATGATCCATTCAGGACAACCTCGATATGGCGCCGAATTAATCCTATCTCTATTTCTGTAAAATAAAACAATTGACAAACGATTTTATTCGCATTTCAGCGCAGTTTAAAGTTTGAGAACAAATTGCTTGAACTACCAACGTTTATGGGCTATATTATCATCTTTCGGATTTTCAAAGTTATTTTTTATCAGTTTTCGCCTGTTCACCCGCATAACTTATACAACAAAAACCATCTGCTCATTCTGCCGCCAACGTCATTGTGACAAAACAATGGTTATTCCCACATGGTTATTGATATCTAAGGTTTCATCACAATGTTCATATTCTATAACCTTGCAAGAATTAGCTTCCGCTTTATGACGTTACGGTTTGGCTTCTAATTTCAATCGTTCAGTACAATGGGGTTCTGCGGGAGCTTGCAGAATAGCGCAGGGGTTCGGCAGGCTCACAAAGATTAAGAACCACTGCATTAGGTTGTAGGCAAATCAATCGCCACGCTCGCCACCGCATCTCTGATTACCCTTCGTGTGTTCGCAGGTTCGAATCCCATGCGGGGATAATCATGTGCGAGAGGATTGCTCGACTCCTCGCCGCCGTAGGGGGGTTCACGTAACCGCTGGTTGGTTACGGCTTCCTCCACCATCAAGTCCATGCTTCTGAAAACAAATAACTGGCTAACTAATCCCATACCCGACCTGGACCGGTAACCGGACGAGAGGCAGCGGTTCGCCATAGGATTAAGCTTTTTATCGGCTTTCCTCTCCCCCGGGATAAATATGTAAATCCTTCTTTCCAACTATTATTCAGAATAACTGGTATTTTTCTGGTTCGGCATTGCCTAACTCAGGGTGGTTGCCGGCTCCGCGGGCCACAAAATTATTTTTGCATTGTTCGCGGGCCACAATAGTGCCAAGAATAGGTAAACAGTGCAATACAAAACAAACACCTTTATTGTGCAAACACATAGTTATCAGGCATAGCCATTCTAGGCTAATAGATTCTGCATTCGATTTTTAGTTTTCTATGATGTCTATATTGTTTGCATATTATATTCCTGACCAAAATGTTAAAAAGCCAGATAACTTAGACCATCAAGCACATCATTCAACTTCGCTAGTTTCCCCAGCTATCCATAACACTATTTAATTCAGTGACAATAGTGATGCCAATACGTCAAAAGCTTTTTTTGATTAATTATATGAAGAAACAACACGAAATGCGATTTTTTGATTACTCTCTGAATGTGATGCGGGCCACAGATAATGAAGTGGCGGGCCACATGTGACCCGCGGGCCTGGGTTTGGACCACCCTGTCCTAACTAATTCATTACACTCTGGGTTTGGAAGGCATAGAACTTGGGATGGGATTTCACATCATTGCCTTGTTATTCACATAATTACCGCTCTGTCATGATTTTCCACCGTTAGCCGTCTTTGTAAGTCTAATGGCTTCCATTATTCCGGTCCAAATAATGCACCATGTTCACAAAAATGTATTTTGTTTATAGAATTTTACAGAGAATGGAAAATTCTTCATGACACCAGAAGTTTATTTCACATCAGCTGATGAGATGAAGTTCCAGAGACCAGTTGAGGTTCAGCTACGTACCCCATACAGTGCCACAAACAAGAAGGACCCAGTAGCTGTGGAGGTACCAAAATTATTTTTAATTTATTAATAGAAACACATGCCATCCTCTCCGATTTCAACTTCTTAGAGTTCTGAGTTTAGAATCCTGAAAACTGGCCCGGAGAGGGTTAAAATTCAGACTCTTGATTTGAAACCAGTGAAAATATCAACTTTGACCTTTACACCCATACTAGGTTCCTATCTCAGTCCAAGGGATCTGTTACGAGACCCTCGACACCCTGCTTATTGTTATAAAAAACTCAGTCTTCATCTTAATTTCAGTTTCGAAGCCCCTTTAGTGTGCTCAAGGTCTTCATACCAATGTCTTTTAAACAGTATATATACATAAATATAGGCTTTGGCAGTTCTATTAAAAGAATTTGCAAGTTTATTTCGAACCAACTTATATTTGGTCTTTTTAAAGCTTAGTTGCAATTATGGTTTCAGATCGAAAGAACAGAGCATTGTATTCCACAGAACTGGTTGAAAATTCGAGATGTGAAATTCCATAAAGGAATGATCAAGTTTTTGTGCAATCAGTTTTGTGGGTAAGAAATTGATTTTGAGCAGTTATTGAATTAGTTTTGTTTGTGAGAAACAGAAGACTCGGTATTCAAGTTAATATGCATCTTGTGGGAAGTTTGTTACTCATATCCGTGTTTTAATCAACAAAACTTTTGAGTAGGAGAAATTTTTTCTGTCTACAATTGTTTTGTCCGTGCTTTGAACAAGCAGTTCTTGTTACTATTTTTTTGAAGGGACCAATATTTTTTTTGGTTAAGGCTGATACAATTTGTGATTTTCAAAGCGATTTAACATGGGTCCTATTATGGTTTCAGATAGTCTTGTATGCCTCAATTATGTCTGTAAACACAGGATCACTGAGTAAAACGCAAAATCTCTAGCTTAAGAAGACAATTAAGTATAGGAAATAATGATGCAACCCAGTAAATAATAAATGATATTCATGAAATATTTTGAATTGTTGACTTACTTGTAGTAAAACTAAGAATGTTATCATAGTTCTTTAACAGGGCTTCTTCAAATTTGGCATAAGCATTTATGAACAAGATATATGCTTTATAATGCAATTCTGAAATCTTGTTGAATGTATGAGAGTTTGTGATTTACATTTTTATAGCAAATTTTGATTTCATCCCATTCATAAAATTTTGTTTCTAGGATCCGTGCAGTTTGCAACTCATGCCAAAGACAGATAATGTCTACACGGCTGAGTTATTCGCTCAGCGTCCAAGACTCCCTCAATTTACCAAACTGGAAGAAAATGATTTACTTCAGAGTGTTCACTGATACACCAAACACCAACGAGCAAATCAGACTGGAAATGGAGCAAGATGGGTATAGAAGGATTCACCCAAGCCAGTATTTTAATTTAAAGTAAGCTGAACTCTTGTATTGTAATATTACTGCAAGAAACAAAACTTTAGGTTATTGATCTTATGACATGCGTTGTTGGCTGCGCACAACCTCATTACTCGCACGTCAACTCGTTTCATGGGCCACATATCATTCAAAATTGGCACTTCTCCACCGGCACACATTTTTTTCCTGTGGGCGGCATTTGGCCGGTGGGCCGCAGGTTGCACACCCCTGCCTCAAATAACCAGCTGTTATGTAAAATGATTTGAATTTAGAAAAAATCTTATCAGCATCAAAACAGGTAATCAGCAGTGCGATAACAAGCAAATATTATCCTGGCATGATTCACCAATTGCTAAGCAAATCTGTGCACTGAGACAAATAAGTTGGCACTACATAGTGTGGCATCATGTGAATTATAAATAATTCCTTGATTCAAATAATTACATCATTCATTTTACAAGATACCCCATTATTATTTTATTATGCCCCATTATTATTTTATCATGCCGAATCATGCACTAACTGTATATTATAAAATATAAGTTCAAAAAGCAATTGCGACAACTTGCATTCATATATGGTAAGATTCATTGTGTAAGCAAACTTCACAAATTTCAAAATGGTTACTAAATTTTGTGATTTAAGACAAGTGAATGTGGTGATTCATCATGACCCAAGAAAGTACTCTTGTGCGGGAAAATTTCATTACTTCATTCAAATTCATCTGACCTCAATATCTAGGATTTTTTATATTTATCTTGGGAAAGAGGAAAGATTATAAGACTTCTTGACCATGAGGCGTACCGTGGGCTTTCGTCTAGTTACCTGTCAATGTCGGGTATGGTATTTGGTAGCCAGCTAATTATTTGTTCATATAAATGCACTTTTGCTTGACTGGCAACCAACTAACAGATCATGGTTTGCCTAGGCCTAGTCTTCTTCTTAACCTTTCTCATTTCTCTCACATGTGCTTTTCCAATCCGAATCTATTCATCTGTGGCTGAGTAAATTGATAACTTCATGACACCTTATTTTTTTACTATTTTACAGAAATGGATACAATTTGATGGTTAAGCTTGATAGCAGAGGACTTGAAACATCCCCCGCATTCGATATTGTACAAATTGATGCTGAAGTCATTTCTCAAGCTTGCATATTCACTCTATATTCGGAGAATCAGAACCCAATCACAGATTCGAGTATTGCAATAAATGCTGACCTTGCAGAAATCTCACTTTTCAAAACGTCTCGTGTTCACTATGAGACCAATCCTGTGAGAAGAGAGCCTCGAAACGTTAACATAACAGTAAACAGTGGGATTGGAATTCAGAACATTAATACATTAGAGCGAGCATCCCATGAAAGTAATTCCCTGAGTGCAGTTTCACCCACACAGCCAATAATAAACCTTCGTCAACCTTTGCAACATCTTGATCCTCAACAACAAGAAATTCCTTTTGTAGCGCAACAACCATCGTTTCACCCTCTTCAAAGCATTGATGTTAATCCTACACCAAATAGGCCAGAAAGAGTGTTCACTCGGGCAGAGGTTAATGAGACAAAGCCAATGGGAACATGGATGACCCAAAACCATCCACCAGATTCACATACTCACAATAGCCATGCTATAACAACAGTTAGTAATGAAACAATGGTCACTTCTATCCAAGAAGGCCAAAACAGTTATCCCATGTACCCACATGAAATAGAAAGACCACATAGTCAAGATGTTTTATCACTCACAGAGGAAGCAAACTCTACTAATACTGGGCAACCATATGCGACAATCTCACCAAGGCCAGATATTCCATCTCATGGAAATCATCGATTTGTGACAAATCCAACAATGATCTCACCTTTCCAAATTCAAGCTACATCCAATGCAGTGACAAAATCAAATGTTGGGATTCCACTACAATCAATCACAGATACGAATATTCAACCCCACAAACGTTCCAGTTCTCTACACCACTTAGAACAAACCCAACAGAAGAAAAAGCCACTCAAAAAACAGCGATCAATTTCGACATCAGAGAACGATATTAACCTAACTACAGAACAGTCCCATCCCACTTACACCCAAACCATTCAGAGATCAGCGTTCAAATCTGCTTTTTCAAGTTACCCCTTGTTGTTGAAGAATTTATGGAGTCAGGTTAGCATAAATTCGACAGAAAAAGATTCAGAAAAGAAGGAAAATAGACAAGAAGTGAGTTTGGCTATGCTTGAAGAGGATGATCAGCATATGCTGAATCCCGTCAATGGCAATGGTGAAGACTGTGACGAACTGTTCGAATATTTGGGCGAAACTTCAGCCCCCGAAGAAGCACTCGGAAACCAAGCGTGGGCCAGTATAAGCAACCAAGCTGAGTCTACAACCTCTGGCCACATACCTGAAAGACCTTCCGCAATATCGAGTGGATTCTGTTCAGGCATTAGTACAAGGAACACATCTGTCAATGCTGAACCAATCTTCTCTCCCATTGACAAACATCTCAGTGAGATAGAGGAACTAAAAGATGTGATTCCAGTCATGCCACGACCTCGGTCGATATCAGATCCTCCAAAATCAACGAATATCACACTCAAAAAGGTTAGTATGAAAAAAACAAGGCTCTAGACTAGGGGTGGGCTTGGTTTTTGAACCGAGGGCCATAAATTTTGCCTACCTACCCTGGCAGGCCATGTAAGTGTGACCTGAAAAGTTAAATTTTTTGAAGAATATTTACACTGTTACAAAAGCAAAAGTGGAAAACAATGAGTCTCATGGTTTTAGTTTGGTTGTGGCAGCATTAAATTTTTTGAAGAATATTTACACTGTTACAAAAGCAAAAGTGGAAAACAATGAGTCTCATGGTTTTAGTTTGGTTGTGGCAGCATCTGGCAAGCCATATTGAACTACCAAATGGGCCCGATCTGGCCCGCGGGCCGTAGTTTGCTCATGTCTGCTCTAGGCCATCAGCCACTGATACCACGCAGACTAACATGTTCTGGAATTGTAATGTTCAATACTAATCTGCACTAAAATCAAACCTTCCTTATTCCTATGGCATACCACAACCCTTTTATCTAGTTACCAATCCCTGTCTGGTATGGGAATAGTTAGCCAATTATTTTGTTTCAGATACATAAAATGAGGGGTAGACTTTGCTTTTACTCACTTGTCAACTTGATTTCACATCTGAAAAACGTTTCAGGAAGACTTACAATACCTAATAAGAGCCGCTCCCGAAGTATGTGCACCAAGATGGCGCACCAGCTAAACACTAACCTGGTATACATACTATGTTCAGGTTGTGTGTCATCATGGTGCACATACTTCAGGAGCTCTTAATAAGATTTAAAATGTTAACCATATTATATTTTTTATATAGAGTCAACCTGCATTAGAAGAAGTGGATCAACCACCGCAGACTAAGCACAAAAAATCATACTCAGAAGTTGTCAAGATCCAAAACAAAGGTCATCAGTCAACTCCAAGGAGCGCAACCAAAATTTCACCAAATTCAAACAAAATAAAGAAATTCTCTCCAAGTAAGTGGACCATTTTTTTCAAATTTTATTTGTTAGAATTTTTTATATTGATACCAGAAAAAGCAAGGGTATCAAAATGTGTATTGGACTAAAAACTATGGCCTCTTGTAGCATCTGGTTTACCAAATGACCCTCCGCTTTTTTTCCCTCTCTGTTTGTATAAATAGGAAAACAAAGTAGCGGAGAACTGATAAATTTCATGGTGTCGGAGGGTTTTGAGCTTCTGGTCTGGTACAGAAATGATGAGTTGTAGGGTCAGCTCATTATCAAGCAAACTTGTCAACTTTCCTCTCACCCCTGATATAAATAGGAAAAATCTCAACCCTCTGCTATATTTGTACTCATTATATTTTGTGATAAGTCACTGATGTCCTTTCATACATTTGCAGGAAAGAGAGTTCCAGTTCATCCACCATGGATTCCCTAAGATTACTGAATATGACGCAGAGCATTTCGGTTCCCTATTCTCTCGAACAAAGACTCATTTTGCAAAATGTTGTGAGAAATCCCACAACTAATGGCCAATCATTTTCAAGTTTTTAGTACCAATACGATAAGAAAATGTTAAAAGGCTTTTTATTTTTCGTATGAGGACTACACCCTATGAGAATCAATATTTTGACCCAAATTTTGCTGGTTTTTATTGTCCAAGAACTCACACTCATCCAACACCCATCTGGAAGCTAAGCTTCTTAATCAATTGTATGATAGGCAGAGGCTGAGACCCACATTCAACCCATAGTCTTTAGCCTGATAAAAAACTCGACTCATTATTAATGCAATGTCATACTGATAGTTATCAGTATCAGTATCAGTTATCTGATTCTGTGAAGATGATGAACTATTTATAAACATGTATCTATTTACCTACAGACTTTACAATGTGCCTCGTTTATTATTGAAATTTATTATTTACTCATTTGCCTTGTTTGAAATTTTGATTATGTTCAATTTTCCAGAATTGAGTAGTTTCACAGTGATTATGCTATTTAGGAAAACTAGTAGCTTTAAATGATTAACTTCTAGGACTTGGTTTGCCTATATGCCAGAGTTCATAGTTGCTTTTATTTTTTTTCGTACTGTAACATAGTTATATATTAGAGGTAACACTTTGCTTTTTAATGAGAAGTCTGATTTCATAAAAATTTAATTCCTCAAATGGCCTACTTCGAACTATAAATAATAATATTTGATAATTTACTTGACGCACATTCAAATGAGTCACATACACATATTGAGTATGTTAAAACCATAACAATTTTACATTTCCGTGGACTGAGCCTTTTAAGTCTTTGTGGTTTTTCAGCTTTTTGAAAAATTTTATCACTGCTTCAAACAAGTGTCAACAACAGTATACAGGGTGTCCATAAAGTTCCTCTACAATTTCAATTTTGTTATTAGTCAGTTTTATTGTAGCTTAACCAAGTTTGTTGTTTTTTTAATCAGTAATTGTTCAAGTATTTTCACTTCATTTAGTACATTTGTAAGGACAAAAACAATATAAGGTATCGATAAGTTCCCTTTGCAATTATAAAAGTTTTTTTAAGACTTTATGGACACCCTGTACAACATTTCTGCTGTAAACCACAGTATTCAAAATATCCCAATTTTAATTTAAGAAATTCGTAGTCTACATGGTGCAATGTGCATCCGCGTGCAGTTGTATGATTCCAATTTCAATCAGTGCTTGTTCAATAAGATAAGGATAGGATTTACATATTTGTCCCGGGGGAGAGGAAAGCCGATAAGACGGCTTATCCATATGGCGAACCACGGCCTCTCGTCCGGTTACCATTCCAAGTCGGGTATGGGATCAGCTATATTGTTTGTTTTCGGAAGCATGGACTTGGTGGTGGAGGAAGCCGTAACCGACCAGCGGTTAAGTGAACCACCCAACAACGGCGAGAAGTCCAGCGATACTCTCGCACATAATCATCCCTGCATGGGATTCGAACCTGCGAACCCGCGCAGAGTAATCAGAGGTGCGGTGGCGAGCGTATTCCTAACGCTTAGCCCGTTGAGCCACACCGCCGCTGTTTATACCATGTTCTTAATCAGCAATGCAGTTTATATCAATATCGTTTGAAAATAATTTTTTGGAGAAATACATTTTTTTTACAGTTTTCTTGTTGCAATATATTATATTCATGATATATATTTGGTAATATCACCCAACTTGATTCATAAAACGATTCTATAGAGGGTAAGAACATTAATATATCAAATGTTAGTCTTATCTATATTTCTTGTGTTTCATTTATTTTATATATTTCAAGTTATTAGTACCTATATGTAATTTGAATCTTTATATTTTTTATGCTTTGAATTGTAGTTATGTTACAGAAGTAGGATTCTAGAAATTCATTCAGATTGAGCATTTAATTAACAAGTTTATTTTGATTAACAAGTAAGACGGAAAACTTGAGATAACACATTCTTCAAAATTCATTTTGACACATTTTTGATGAGTGGGATTTGACATTACCATTGAAGATTTTATTATTACCCGTCTTCAGGTATAATACACCATTACAGTTGTTTTGGGTTCATTTTCGATAACTATTTCGACCCACAGTTGAGAACAGCTACTAATAAAATATAATATTTTGTACATTTCTATTTTATCATGTTTTCACTTATGTTATATGAATTGTATTACCGTTGGCTCCAACAAATCATCATTGCCTATGATTAAATGGCAAAGTTACCCACCTAGCAATTTTGAAACGAGCCTTATTTTTTTACAAATATTTTTGTGCCTTAATTTTAGAGAACAATATGAGAATCCAATTATATATGATTAGGGTTTGCTAGTTTCCCAGACATTTCTGTTCCAGATTTGATTGGTATATTGAGTGTCATATTTCAGTATGCCAAAAGAAATTGTTTGTATCATATCATTTTTAGTATACCCCTCTCCATCAAAAAAATAGAATTTGTGATATGCCGTTGTCAACATTAATCTAAAATCCATAGTCATACCAATATATACCATGGTAAAGGTGTAAAATTTTACACATTGAAATTAACTTTTATATATGCTCTATTTTTTCGAATGATCTTATTTAGATACAATAATTCATAATTTTTATCCAACTATTTTAACCACTTCATTATAACATAGTCAACATAATGATGAAAAAATCATGTTAGAAGGCTTGTCTTGCGGCTTTACATTACAGTACATCCTATCGCATTGGCAGATAAAAGATGTCTAGTTTTTATTAATAATTTCATCAATTTTATGAATAGTTGCACTAATTGGTAATTTTATATATTGCATGTATTTTTTATCTTTTTAAAACTTAAACTTTATAACAGTGGTTCCCAACTATTCAGGGCTCGTAGCTTCCTTCCAGAGGCTTTTAGCACTCATGGACCCCATTTGTCATTCCAGCGGTATTTATAGTGTTATTTTGATTAGTAGATTCCAAACCCCATTATTCTCAAACAATTCGTGCTCTACAATGTGGAAACACACTTTAAAATAACTTTATCAAGCAATGAAACAAAGCGAAAAATGGGGAGTTTTCTTGTTATGGGAAGAGTAAAATCAGTTTTGCGCCTAGTGTTGTGGCCCTGTTTTGGGGCCACGGGCCATCAGTTGGGAACCGCTTCTGATATGATATTTTGTACATTTCTGATTTATTATGTTTCTACCTATGTTATGTGAATTGTATTACCTGCCGGATCCAATATTTCACTTTATGTCTTCCAATGGTTCGCCCCCAACATGCCATCATTGCATATGATTAAGCGACGGAGTTACCAACTTAGCTATGTCCATTGTCCATCACTTTACACAGTTCAGCCTTTCTAAATTTTTGAAGTCTGTTCAAAGGAGGACAACTCCACAAGCGTTTTTTTTTTTGGGTGTTGTTGAAAGCTGTCTGATATATTCCCTCGTAGAGTTTGTTGGTTAGCTGCTGAGCCAATAATCATCACTAATAACAGTACCTTGAAAAACTTACTCCTTTTGAAATTTTTAACCCAACCTTTTAAAATTTTAATTACATATTAGAACATTTTGCCCACCTAGACTGGCTGGCCATGTAAGTGTGGCTTAGAAAGTTACATTTTATGAACAATATTTACAGTATTACAAAATCAAAAGTGGAAAACAATATGTTTCGTGCCAAACTAAATTTAATCGCAATTTCAACAAATTCCTTGAACTATCTTTTTGCTAAAACATCCATATTGGGTTTTAATTTGGTTGTGTCAGCATCAGGCGGGCCAGATTGAATTCCTCAACGTGCCGGATTTGGTCCGCCCGCCATAGTTTTTTTTTCCCTGTCAGATATAGACTCACATATTGTTAAAACATTGGAATGATAAATTATGCCTGAATTATGAAATATTGAGTTGTTCGAAGTAGATTTTTCTGATTAAATAATAAATGTTTTTTAAATGACAGTCACTTATTGTGATTGTTTTTCTAAAACAGGGGTGTGCAACCTACGGCCCACGGGCCAAATGCAGTCTGCAAGAAAAAATTGTGCAGCGCGTGGAGAAGTGCCAATTTTGAAGGGTGTGTGGCCCACAAACGAGCTTTTAATTTAGTTTAATCTTATACGAGCAATCTTATACGCCCAATTCATTATCTATGGCTATGACGTTATAATGCCCGCCCTAACAGCTAGCTTGCCAAAACCACGTCCAAATAGCCTTTTTGAATACTTTTTGTTGTCGGAAAAAATAAATCCGAATGAATATGGAAGAATTATAAGTACTTTTAAGTAGAAACACGTACAGAAGTTAAGGGAGTCGATTCCCCGTCAAGGTTTCTATTGCTGCAGCAGCAAAAGCAGTCTTTAAGTTTCCAACAATGATTTCCGGGTTCGGGGCTTTGTTCGGATTCGCCTTCATTGGTAGATTTCTCTTTTGATACAATATGCTCAAGAAAATCAGGAAAGCCATTAGAACTATCCGGACGGGAACTGCGATATAGGAAGTTCATGAACGTAATAAAAGGATCATAAATTTTTATTTCAGAAATACAATTTTCACAACATCCAGAACAGCATCGTTTAAAACATGTACAATTGCACAATTTGAAAAGAGCTATGATAACAAAGCACCATTCAAAAAAAAGTGAGCCAGAGAAAAATACAAAAAAGGGCCTGAGCCCCTTTGCAAGTGTATAGGAACAAAAGTAGTACTGGTGATTGTCAAGATTTTGAGATACTTCTCTAAAATCTTTCTCATCGATGTTGCAGTTGAAATGGTGATTATCACTAAACATAAACCAAGAGCCAAATACACTTCCACCTAAACTTAAGCCAATGGATAGCAACATCAAACAACAACGAAAGATGTACCACTTTCTGATATTACATGATGGACAACAGCAGTACGACCTGCGCGCGCGATGATACTTCCATATGCTCAAACAAACATTTCGTAAACGCGTTTCGTTTTCGTTAAGATCAGAGAATGACTCGTCCTTCTTCCACTCTTTCTTTACTTCTTTTTTCAATTCTTCCAAGGTTTTGATACGACTTCCCCACTTTAATTCCATGAGTTTTATCAACTCATCTTCAATTTGTTTGTAAGTGATGAAAGCACGCTTCACTCCTGGTATTGCATTCCAGTAATTAGCTGTCATGAACATTATAATAACAGCGCAGAATGGAAGGATGCCATAAACGGCAATCCATTTGACTTCATGAGTGCAATATGTGTTGACGAAATCCGATGCAGAAAAGCTAGCCTCGCTGCTATTGGAATTCACTGGCAAACAGTGAGGTATGTTTGATTGTGTGATCAAGTACATCATGAATAGTGAAGATGCGACACTCAATCTCGCGAAAAACGTACGCCATACTTCCCACCACGGATTCAAATCATATTCAGCCATGAGGCCATTAAAATGAAAATGATGAAAATGAAGAATAGCCGCCGTCATTTTAAACACTAGCAACTCAGATATAAGACTGAAATGAGAAATATATATCCTCGAATGATTGAATGTACTAAGACTATAAAACTCTTTCCACATGTTTCATTCAAGACATGTGGTAGACGTAGAAAGAACCACCTATGCAGCAATTCCATAAATTAGTTGAAAATTTGGTAAAAATTATATCTTGCCCAATTGAAATATTGAGCTGCAGAAAGTGTAGGACATATCTTGAAGTTTTTAAAAACGCATGAGAAGGTACATTTACGGCTCAAAATAATTGTTTTTTCTTCAGCGGAATAATTGATGATTTTCTGCCTATTTTTCTTCAGTTTTGTAACATAAACTCTCATGCTATTTATGTTACTTTAAAATTTATTTGTTCAACCAAAGTATGTGTTAAGTTTTACCTCTGATATCTGTGCTTAATATAAATATTGCACTGTATAATATTGGCAACACTGAGCTAAACATAGCTGATGGGAATTTGCCTTGTGTTGTCACTCCGTGACAATTTTTCAACTTTATTTTAATTATCTGATATATTTCAATGACTATTCGCCTCAAAAACTGAGACCTCACTTTGGGGGTAGGGCCCAATAATTTACCAATTTGGCAGTTGATAGTTGCTTGTTGTTCTTTGGCAGCACTTCAAGAGATCTTTTTTAAAACTATCGATAACCAAAATATTTGACCTAACATGCGCCGGTTTTGAACAATATGAACGAACTTATTGTAGACTACAATTGAAAAAATATGTAATCTGTTGGAATGGCAGAATAAATATGGCAAAATGCATCGTTTTGCAATATAATTCGACATTTTTGTAAAAGGCGTAAGTGAATTCAAATAATTCACAAACAATATTAAATCTCAAGTTTTAACATCGACATCTGGATTTTCGTTTATATCCATTTATCGGGT